GAAAGGAAGTAAGGCCACCCTAGGAATCCAAGAAAAGGCATTAACATTCTCTTATTCTTGGTTTGTATTCCCTGACTGGGGGTGGCGGGGTGTAGGGAAGAGGATGTTCTCAGAAGAAATTTCTCATTGTTCAGATGAGTCTCTGTTGCACCCTTTGTCCTTCTGTTCAATGCACTGAATGGACTTGTTTTCTTCATACTTGTGGATGTGGTGAAGAACCTTACTTGAAGCTTAATCATTCTGTTTTGTTTTTCTGTTCATTAGATGCAAATTGAAATGTAATGCTTTTTATAATTAATAATAGCATGTGTTATATGACATTGTTATAAAATATAAAAAATTAGGGCTGGGGATATAGCTCAGTTGATAGAGTGCTTGTTGCATGCACGAAGTCCTGGGTTCAATCTCCAGCACCCCCTTCCCCAACACACACACACACACACACATACACACACACAAAAAAAAACCCCATAAAATATCAGAAATAAATTCTGCCAACCATTTAAAACATCCATCCAGCCTTTTCTTCTTTGATTTGTTTTAAACTTTTTATTATGGAAATTAAATTCTCATGAAAGTAGAATAGCATACTGACATGTCCCCTGTCACCCAGCATCAACATTGTGACTCTCCTTCCACTCTTTCCCATCTGCCCTTTTTCTACACTCTTTCATATTTCTTTTTTAGTATAAGCATATTAAGTCTTAGGAAACGTAATTTCCCCCCCCTATAAGCAATTCGGTATAAATCCTTTGCTTAAAAAGCATAACCATATGCCATTATGATATCCACTAAAAATAACAGTGGTTCATAATACCATGTAATATCCAGGAGATTTGGACCTAGAGAAGCCAGGTCTTTTACCTCCCAATAAAATGTTGGAACTTTCCACTCTCCTTGATCAATTCTTCTCAATACTGTCAGATATATGCCTTCAAGTGGAATCTTGCTGGATCATAATGGCAATCATTCTGTTTTTATTTTTTGTGGACCCCCACCCCACCATGCCATACT